ACATATTACTTACACTTGCTGACATTCTCCCCAACTGAGTACACACTTCTCCACATATTGTGAAACACTAGGACGTGTGATCAAAAGTACAATGAGTATTTAAATTACACAAAGATACAATAAAAGACAAATTGCCATAAATGATTTTCAAAGTGTTTCCCTCCATATATACACACCTATCCCATTGTTCTTTCAACTTTTTGCAGGGGTTCTGAAAGTAGACTTTCGTGGGTGTCTTTAGTAGCTATGTTGTGTCAGCTTCGAAAGCTAGAAGCCACACAAAAGAACCTTTCTTTTATACAGTGTTTTTTCTTTGGGGGGGACTCAAAGCTCACTCCATGCCAGATTCTGTGAATAAGGTGAGTGAGGACACACCATCATTTTTTGATGAACCTCACCTAAAATGGGTTGATCTTTGACAAAGTGACAAACAGAAAGGAAAATTTTTTCAAGAAATGATATGGGGGAAGTTTATATTCACAATTAGAAGAATAAGACAGGACCCTTATCTCATCCCACATACAAAAATCAAGTTAAGAACTTCATTTAAGATTTTGTGCTGCGAAGCTAGTTGGCACTAATCTCGATGTGGTAGGTTACTGAGAAGATAGATAGAGGGTAGGTATAGGCACATAGATATGGAGGAGCAATTGAAACTTGCTAACTGATGAACTGATAGATATGTTTTCTGAAGGAAGTCAAAAGATTGAGTATGGACTACAAGGATGATGGAGTAGTCCCTGAGAAAATCAGAAAAGTGAACAGATTTGTATGAAAACTAAGTTTGATTCTGTCTTCAAATGAGATGAACCAGAGCTTTTAGTAGGTTGTGAAGGATGAGCAGGTTGGATTAGCCACATACTCAGCTTTTGTCCAGTGTTCGTTCTGTTGTTCTAGAGATACAAGTTCTGGAGCTTTGGCTTAGCACTGTCCTCAGACCTAGGAGATAAGCCCCTCATGCTCAGATGCTAGTCATTTTTCAGAATACAGACCTTGTCACAGGCACATTAATGATAGAGGCCATGACCTAGTCCCT